TTCTCATCTCCCACCCTTTCCTTCTCTCTAACAATATTCTGTCGTCTGCTTTCGTCTCCACTTTCTGCCCCCACCCCCTCACCTCCTTTGCTGCCTCCTCTGGGCTTCTGACTCTTTAAGCGGTCTTTCTACTACTACTCCTTTGCTTTTCCTTACTGCTGTCTTTCAGCCACACCCCTGATCTTATGGAAGGAAAGATCTACACCTAGCCTTCTCGGACAAGCGCGAAAAATCTTGGAGGTCCCGTGTGCAAGTTGCACAAGTTAAAGATCCCTTGGTGGTCAGGTTTCGGTCGCCGCCCGAGCAAAATTGTTTAATTCCTACCTACTGAAAAGGTCAATATGTCCTGCGCGTTCATATGACCGTATTCAGTTGCGAGCGCCGTAAAACGCATACCCCCACCCCCTAAAAAAAAAAGAATGAATGGGGGTGATTTAATAATCTCTGTACAATGACCAGAATGCGGCTGTACGAATTAAAGACAAGCACTATGAAACAGATTAAAAGAGGAGTTGAACAAGGCTGTGTTATTTCGCCAGATCTTTTTATCATACGAAATAGTCCCTAAAATTAGAAAGTCCAGGTACGAGTTTCAAAGTGAATGAAGACATATATATATATATAGATAGATAACATTATATATATATATATATATATATATATATATATATATATATATATATATATATATAGATAGATAGATAACATATATATATATATATATATTATATAAATTATATTAACATCAGATATGCCTCAATTGCTTTTATACATTGCTGTTACTGACATAAAATGTAAGGGATTGTTTTCAAACACTAAGAGAACAGAGTGCATATAATATATCATATACAGTGGAAACCATATATAACAGGCCCGGTAATAACAGGGATTCGGTAATAACAGGGATTTTTTAAATAACAGGGATTCGGTAATAACAGGGATTTTTTAAATCCCCGTTTATTCCTACTCTTTGTCTCTATTAAAAGTTAGGGACAAAGGCTCGTTAAAAATGTGTAAAAAGTAAGAGAGAGAGAGAGAGAGAGAGAGAGAGAGAGAGAGAGAGAGAGAGAGAGAGAGAGAGAGAGAGAGAGAGAGAGAGAGAGAGAGAGAGAGAGAGAGAGAGAGAGAGAAAGAGAGAGTAACGCAGTGATGGAGCAAGCCATGCCACTGCAAGCACACACAGCATGTGAAGCGAGAGAGGGCTGCGGTGTGCTGCAGACCTCGATCTAGCCCGAAATCTAGCAACACGCACGTGTAATGTGTCACCAACGCACGTCAAGCGCTAGAGAAAATGCCTTTCAATTGACAAAAAACCCGAAATAATCCAGGTTGTTGACAAAAAGCAAGCTCCACTGGCAGAGATTTGTCGTTGTTCGACATTCCACAAGGGTCGATTCACACCATTATCAGGGATAGAGCGAAGATAGCGGCAGCATACTCGAATGGAAGGTTTGCTCAGGATCGAAAGAAGATAAGACTACCCGATGCAGATGCTGTGGACCAAGCTCTTCTGATGTGGTTTAAGGACGCAAGGAAAAAGTTGGTGCCAAAACCCCTGTTCGTGTGTACTTGTGGCAAGGGAAACTACCCATGAATAAGTACAGCTGGATTAGTCCACAATAAATGCTTACTTTCCTTGAATTTCTGATTTAACAGGGATCGGATATAACAGGACATTTTCTCTACTCCCACCATCCCTGTTATATCAGGTTTCTACTGTATATATATATATATATATGTTACAAAACTAAATTGAATTTTTTTTTATATGAGCATAGGTCGACATGTAATTACATCTAATAACACATTCTTCAGCGAAATAAAAAGAAAGATTTGCAATTGTTTAAAACAGTTTCAATAAAGTGAGTCCGGTCCGGATAAATACATTTAGAAACATCTCAACGACAACAAAAATAGGGCTTTTAGAAAAAGACCGTGTGCTCAACTCGTCGGTACTGGCTGTGAAATCTGGACAAAATTACTGAAAAAAACATGGATATAATATATATGTAATAGAATAAACGTGAGGCAACAGAAATGTGGGTTTCTAAGAAGATAATTTTGTGGAATGAAAAAAAAACCCCAGAATGAATTACATGTATGATGTAGGCTACTGTCAAACCTCGTTATACTGCCCCCCTTTATACGGCAAACTCCGCTTACCGCCAGGTTTTGCCTTACGGAAAAGAGCATCTGTAAACTTTATATCTGCGCCTCTACACCTCCATTTACCTACTGTCTGGACCTCATTACACTAATGTAAGTTCGCCCGATCACACCGCCAGCAAACTGGCCGGCAGAGGTGGACACTACACACAGTGCTTGGAGTCCCTGCAAGTGAAGAGAGAGAGAGAGAGAGAGAGAGAGAGAGAGAGAGAGAGAGAGAGAGAGAAGGGAAAGACTCTCAGCTCTATATTATACTTGTACACATGTAAATCACCAACAATTCTTCTTCTTGTATCCCGTGGTTGGGGCAACCGTTGGGGCACCACTGCATTGGAAAACCAGCTTTCGCCATCTATTTTTGTCCTCTGCTCTCCTCAGATTGTCACCCATCGTCTTTCCTGTCCACTCTTTAATGTTGTCCTCCCATCTCCTTCTCTGCCTTCCTCTCTTTCTCTTTCCTTGTACGGTTCCTTGCAGGATTGTTTTGGCAAGTCCTGTGGATCTTGTGACATGCCCATACCATTTCAGTTTTCGTCTTTTCACTGTGGTCAGTAGATCTTCATATTGTCCCACTGCGTTGGTGATTCTCTTTCGTCGTACTTCGGCATTTGAAACGTGGTCTTTGTACGAGATGTCAAGGAGTCTGCGGTAACATCTCATCTCTGTGATCTGAATCTTTTTCTCTAATTCTGCTGTTAGTGTCCACGACTCGCAGGCGTATACAAATATTGAGATGACCAGTGAGCGCATTAGTCTAATTTTTTAGCTGTGCGTGATGTTTCTGTCCCTCCAAATAGGCTTCAGTTTTGACAGCGCAGCTTTTGTTTGCGCGATTCTGGAGAGAATTTCTGGTCTTGAGCCTTCATCTGAGACAATAGATCCAAGGTATTTGAAGCTGTTGACGGTCTCAAGTTTCTCGCCCCTGACTTTGATGTCCGCATTGATGCCATTGGTGTTATTGGTCATTAGCTTGGTTTTCTCGGCGCTGATCTCCATGCCGTAGGCTGCTGAGGTTGTGTCCAGCCGCTCCACTAGTGTGGCGAGCTCCTGTTCTTTTCCTGCTAATCCATCGATGTCATCGGCAAAACGCAAGTTAGTAATTGTCCTGCCTCCAATACTGATTGTTCCATTGTGGTCTTCCAGAGTGTCAGTCATGATTTGTTCTAGGAAGATGTTGAAGAGAGTGGGAGAGAGTAAACAGCCTTGCCTCACCCCGACCGTTGTCCTGAACCTATCCCCCATGCTGCCGTTAAGGTAGCCTGCGCTGGAGGCTTTGTCGTATAGTTGTTGTATGACGTTGATCAGGTTGGCGTTGATGTTATATTTCCTCATGGTTGCCTATAAGTATAAGGCTGCATGCCAGACCCTGTCGAAGGCCTTTTTAAAATCCACAAAGATGTAGTATAGGTTTTGTTGGTGTTGGAGGTACCTCTCGCACAGTATTCTGAGGTTGAAGATCTGTTCTGTTGTGCTGCGCCCTACTCTAAAGCCTGCCTGCTCTACGGCAATTATCTTCTCTGCCTGTGGTTTCAATCTGTTCAGCATTATCTTCAACATAACCTTACTAGGGTGGCTTATTAGACTGATGGTGCGGTAATTCTGACGTAGTTGCAGGTTACCTTTCTTGGGGAGTGTAATCACTAGTGATTGTGTCCATGGTGTTGGCCACTTTCCTGTCTGCCAGATCTTGTTGCAGATGACAGTCAGAGCGCTTATAAATCATGTCCTTTCCCCCTGCCTGTATCAATTCTCCTGGGATGTTGTCCACTCCTGCTGATTTCCCCTTCTTCAGTGCTTTAACTGCTGCTTCAACTTCTTCTCGAAGGATTGGATGGTTATCGATGTTGGTTGCTGGGGGAACGTTTAGAATCTCGGGGTTCACCGTGGCTTTGTAGTTGTACAATTCTGAGCAGTATTCTGTCCATCTTTTCAAAATGTCTTGTTCATCTGTCAGGCATTTTCCTTGTTTGTCTTGAATGGTGGTGGTGCGCCCTTCTTTAGTGCATGTCAGGTCTTTTACTAATTGATTGGATATGCTTTTTTGCTGTTGTTTGTCCTCAGGCTGCTTTCGATTATTTGGCATTGTTCCTCGATCCAATTTTCTTTTGCCCTTTTCATACTTGTTTTAATTTTTTTGGCTGACTGCTCTGTACTCCTTTGCACCATCTGGTTGCTTCTTTTTCTCCTTTAGTTTTCTCCTTTAGTTTTCTCCTTTTGTCACACAGGTTAAGGATGTCAGTTGTGACCCAGGGCTTATTCCTGTTCAATATATCTAGCAACAATTAAAAAGACATTTTTAAAAAAATTGCACGCAGCTCACTCAGCAAAATCATTTCCCTTGACATTGGGCAGTTGCGGCAGCTGCCAGCCTCGCTCTTCTGCCTACTTCATGTTCGTCCCAGGGCAGGCGGTATAAAACAAAGTTTGACTGTAGTGCTGAAAGAAGCCAGCGTGGGATATATATATATATATATATATATATATATATATATATATATGTTATATATATATATATATATATATATATTTGCAAGAAAAGGCCAGAATAATCTAGATCTAGAGGTTTTTTTAAAAAGAGCATCTGAGAAGAGAACTGAGTTTTTTAACAATTGCCGATGTAAGTATTCGAGCCACCACCTGTAATACATGATGTAGAAGGAGATTGAAGAGAGTATTGAAATTTGAGACTTTTTGTGACAAGTTCCTTACTTTGAGTGTCAGTGACCATATATCCACTCGGAGCTTTATTCTGCTTTTTTTTCATTTTTTTTTTCATTGTACACTTCTCAGTACTGTCAGTACAGTGTATATTTTTGCATTTTGCTTCTTTCCAGCTAAAATCACAGAACAACCTGATGGGGATGTCCTTATAGAATTGGATATTCCATCTTTGGAAAAATCAAACGTACCACGTGTCCCAAAACAGGGAACTGCTGATGTCACATTTCACAACAAGTAAGTAACCAAGTAATACTGAGAGCTTCTTCCTGTTCAAATATCTAGCATCTGCGTTTGTTGCCTTTTTGGGGTCCAAAAGTTGCCACAAAAATGGCAAAAGTTGCCATAAAAGTTACCATTAATTTTCAAGCTTTTAACTCTCTTTGACGACATATAGCAATATGTTGATAGAGGTAACTTAATCTAAAGCACCAGAATGTCTTGTGCAGAATCCAGAAGATCATTTGTAGTCAAAAAGAGTGTAAAAACGTGAAAAATAAAGGTTTCACAACAGAATGAAATCAAAATTAGAACAGCACATAAACAACCACAGAATTTAACAAATAAGTGCGTGTGTCCACCTATTCGAAAATTGGCTTTTTTAACCCTAAACGTGTGCAACTCAAGAAAAGGTAGGCCTACAGGATATTACATGTAAATGATAAAATCACACACAATTAAGTGTCAGCATTAGGTTTTGGTGGAGACACGCTTTAACATAACACATTTTTATACTTAAAAAAGGTAGGAACAACATCAAATTAAATAACATTACGCTATATAACAACAAACAAGTAGTAAAACAACACATTAGAACAATAACAAGAAAAAAAAATTAACTCACCAACAAATTAAAACACAACAAAGAAGGAAAAATAAAAGAGAAACAGCAAAATAAATAGCATGTAATGTACTTATATTCTTCAAGTAAAAAATAACAATTCAACGTGGTGTCAACTACAAGTGAGAAAGAGACGAAGTGAAGTGGGAGTGAAAATAAAAGTTCTTTCTAAGAGTAAAGAGGTTCGGTTTCATTTACTTTTCTTTTTTGTTTTTTTGTTTTTATTCCGCGGCAGTGGTTTTGTTTTTGGGTGGGGGGTTTTCCCCCGAAAAATGCAAAAATCGCAGACGAAAAAAATGCCAAAAAATAGCGGCCGCGATTTGCAACAAACGCAGATGCTAGAAATATAGATATCTAGTTTTAACATTAGAAAGAAAACGGAGAACTGCTATTGGGAATAGTCTCAGTGTTTTTAGTGTTCATTTGAACCTTCCCAGACGGCCAGTTGTATAGCTAAGACAGCCATCTGTCTGTAGGCCTACAAACGACAAAGATCTCCCCCCCCCCCCCTTGTTGTATTTTTTCTTACATAATGGTACATGTACTGCCTAAAATAGTAAACTGCCCAACACAGCCGTGGCCACTCTATGTTTTTATCAACCGACAGCCCAGCAAATATCTCATCTCACCGAACGTTCCTGTCAGGGGTAACCCAGGCTGAGAAGAAGGATACAACATCTCCGCAGAAAAACTGAGTTATTAAATACAAATTCTCCCCTCTCAGGAATTGGATTCTGGTCTCCTATTTATGGGACAGCAAAGCGCCTAACGACCACACCACAGGCGCATTTTATTTTCATTTTACAGAAATTCAGGAGAAAAACCTGAACGTAGTTACCAATATGATTTTAAAAAAATAGATCTAGTGTTACTTTGAGAGAGTTGAGGTTGGCGCGGAGATCAATGATGTTTTTGGTTCTGCTATTCACGGTAATATATACCCATGTTGAAACTAGACCTGTTGAATTTTGGTCAGGAGGTGACTACTGATTCTTGTTGAAAACTCTCACCATAATTAATAAGTTCTCGGTCATATCCTCAAACTGGTGGGCGTCGCGTTTATTGTCACATAATTTGTGATTAGTATTATTAGGTCTGTTGGTGGAAAGATTTTCCCGATAAAATTGTGGTCCTGTCCCTCACTGCTACTGTTGTCTTGTTCAGGTGATTGATTGACCGGGTATAATATGATACATTTTACTCAGCACTATCGACACAATTTGATCCCCCGGAAGAGGCACTTTCAAACAGAATGTTTCACCAAGTCAGGTGACTTTTGTAAGCAGGAAAAGTCACTTGTAACCCTGAGGTCTAGTAAGTAAACTTGCTCTGTGCAAAGTGATAGAACACTACATGGAGGCCACTGTGTTGGTCGTGATGAATCGACTGTGTTGGTTTTACTTTATTCCGGGTACTTTTGCACTTGTTCTTGTGAGCAGCACCATGCTTGTTGCATGCACTTTGACTCTTGGATATGTTAAACTTTACTTTGTCCAAAGAATGACTACCTGTAAGCGTTACTGTATGGTTTTGTGCGAATTTATAATGGAATAAGGATCGTAATCTTATTGTGAAAAATACTACAATGTACGTAGGTTTATATACATTGTATAGTATTGGCATGAACAATAGAGGACTACCTCAAAGGAATCTGCCTACCTTAAGACACCCCTGTAAGCCGGACAACCATCTGTAAAATTCTTGATGGGCTCCTGAGTAGGCCTACCATGAAAAAGTTGCTGAAAGAAATTCCGATCTCACACACACATATATATA